ATTATTACACAACACAGCATAGGCCATTAACCGCACCTCAGAGGCTGGACTGGGGCTTGAAACATCCACCAAGCACAGTTGATAGCAGCTGGTAGTATAATAGGAACACTTGTAAACTGTCACCCAAAACACAGAGCACAAGAAGGTGTCAAGTAGCTGCTAATATCGAGCAGAGAACCTACTGAGAACAAGTCCTCTTCTAAAGTATGTGAGCAGTTGACATGAAACTGAAACCAATGCCCATACGGTATGCCCTGCCTTAATCCTGTATGGCAAAAGCTAAAGCATAATCTTCTGCTTATCATTCAAGGGCGCCTAACATTTTTTTTTTATTAATTTGGAATTGCCGTTTTTATGGAAAAAGCAGTTGCTACTCCAGCTCCAGTGCCTGCACCACACAGGAAGAATGAGGATCCCGCACTGATTGGAGAAATAGTGTCTCTTACTGACGTCTCTGCAAGCTTGCAGAATCCCAGTGGTTACAGGAGGTGATGCTCCACTGGAACTTGAGAACTCCCTGCGTGGCTACTGGCTATGCAACACCAGGGGCACTCGGCACGGTGCGTGACACCACTTGGATGGTACTTGTCACTTTCAGTGACATCTGGGCAGTGGGGCTCAGCCTGTACTGCAGTGAGTTGCTGTGCATCCCCCAGTGAGGCAGCAGCCTGGAATGAAAGTTGGAACCCTTCCTGATATGCGAATGATCTCCTGTAGGTTCTCCCGGACTTGCTTCTTGGACTCAGATGGCCAGCCCACCTGTGATAATTGCCCATCTGGCTTCACTGGTCGACGGTGCGAGAGGTAAGCTGCCATCTTTTTCTCCCTCTTGGTTGAGGGGTTAAAAGTTCTCGCTCTAGTGATTAGCGCTGAGCCGCAGGAATGGGGTGAGTGGAAGCTGTTTTTTGTTCTTTGTTTCTTACACCTGGGGAAAGCATGATTGCTCTGGTCCTCTTTCTCACTGACCTGATGATTCTGTGGTCTTCAAGCCTGGCATGGGAGACGCAAAACTTGATCCTTGCCACCCATCCCAAGTCCATCTTGTCAATGAAGGCCGAGGCCCGAGGTTCACTTTAAAAAACATGGTGCGCAGTATTCCTTGATTTCCCTTGAAATCTTCTGACCCACAAGCTGCTTTGAAAGTAATATGATTCCCCGAGACTGTTATTTTGAGAGAAGCTCTGAAGTAAGTATTAAGGGGGGTATAAGGCTTCCTAAATGCCTCTTCACACCAAGGGCTCAGCTGATCTCCAGGTAATGTTCAGAGCAGTTGCTTTGTTTGCTTTTAAGATCAACCAGTTTTAGGTCAATAGGGAAGACTCATGATTGTCATATCAAAGCTTTAAGTGGCTGAGCCTTGATCATCTAAGCACAGACCCTGTAGCTAGTGCAAATAGAGTCATCCCAGATTCAAAAGCACCAATGTACCGTACCAACATACTGTGATTTCTTTTAATTCATTGCAATTATTTTATTGATTTGACAAGAGCTTTTGATCATTCTATTCTGTGCTATGATAAGCTTACAACATGCTACTGTATAATAGTTAAGAGCTAGTAGTAGAATAGGAAATGGTTTGAAAGGTCACAGAAATAGTGGCCACTGTGCATAATCAAAACAGTTTATATTGACTGCATTGTCAATGCATCTGTCCTCAGACATTCCCTTAGCTAGTTAAATAATTTAAAGCCACATCTCACATACAGATACAGCAAATAATCCACTAAGTCCAAGGAGCTTTCAAATAAACTGGGGTTAAAGTGTTAGGGATGTTCAGATCAGGTGGGTAGATCTGATCGCTTTGAGTAGAGTGAAGTTCATCATTACGAATCGAGATGTCCATCATACTTCCTAGAAACTACCTAATGTCCACCAGGCTGTCCTTCCAAACCAAGCCACAGAGCACAAAACTGGTTAGGGATGCCACTGTGATGTGCCAACAGTGACGTTGGAAAAATATTAAAAGTTCTGTGTTTGCGATGAGTCACTATTCCTTACATCATCACAGGCCTTTGAGGGCCAGTGGAGAGAAAAGCTTTCTTGAGAAAAGCAAAGAAAAAGTCCTTTAAAATCTCATATGAGCTATACTGTACTGCAGACGCGTCGAAGGGTTTGTGGTCAGACTTAACAAAAATGGAACTTTTAAAAATGGAGTGTTACTTTTGGCATAAGCCCAATACAGCCCGTCAACCAGCACCATCCCAGCTGTCAAGCTTGGTGATGGCAGCATCATGTTGCAGGGCTGCTTTTATCATCAGGGACTAGGTAGCCTGTCGGGAATGAGAGAAACATGAAATGAAAATTGGACAGAGCAAAGTAGACGTGGGAAACTTACTTCAGTCACCCAACAACCTCAAGATCACGAATTCACATTTCAGTGGGATAATGACCTGAAACCCAAAGTATGAGGCACACTGAAGTGGCCTCCCACAAGAAGAGAGCAAATGTTCTTGAGTGCATTAGTCAAAGTCCTGACCTGAAACCAATAAAAAATCTGGTAGTCTTGCCGATTGCAGTGCATCAACTATTCCCAATAAAAGTAGTGGAAGTGGAGCAATTCTGAAAGCAAGAATGGAGAAGATGTCATGTTCTCACCTCTTGCTGTGCAAAGCTAGTGGAGACCTATCCAAAAGTACCATCAGCAGGAATTGCTGCCAAAGCAGGTTCTGCCAAGTATTGGAAATTAGTCAGTCAGAGACTTGTTTTAGAAGGCTGAATACTAAACGCAATCAATACATTTTGCTTTGAAGGATGTCTTTGCTGACATTCAACTTTCTTCACATATAACAGTGCCCAGTCTGATCGTTACAGTGTACAATAAAATAATTGTATTTGAAAAAAAATTATAAACATAATCAAAAACATACTTAATCAAAAACATTAAGCATGACAAAGTTGGATATTATTGGCAGGGTGTGAATATGTTTCAAAGGACTGTATATCAAAATGACAGAAAGTCGGGGATACAGAGACGTTTACACGTTTTAGGATTTTCCTTAGTCCTCAAGATTAATGTTTGCTGTGTTTGCTCATTCTCCTGTGTGGCTGGTTTAAAAGCAGTTTCACGTTTTTATAGTGTCTTGACGTTTTATTCAGAGAAAAGGGAAGGTTTAATGGTCACA